GAGCCTAGGAGTTCCAGACCAACCTGGGCAACACAGTGAAACTCTGTCTTTACACAAAAATACAAAAATCAGCTGGGGGTGGTGGCACACAGCTGTAGTCTCAGCTACTCAGGGGGCTGAGGCTGGAGGATCACTTGAGCCCAGGAAGTTGAGGCTGCAGTGAGCCACGACTGTGTCACTGCACTTTATCCTGGGTTATGGAGCAAGACACTGTCTCAGAAGAAAAGAAAAGAAAAAAAATATCAGCCAGGCTCATGGCTCACCCCTGTAATCCCAGCAACTGGGAGGCTAAAGGCTGGAGGATCACTTAAGGTCAGGAGTTCCAGACTAGCCTGGACAACATAGTGAAAACTTGTCTTTAAAAAAAATTGTTTTAAAACTGAAACAAAAAATCAAATCTTACGCCAGGCATGGTGGTGCACACCGGCAGTTGCAGCAACTTGGAAGGCGGAGGTGGGAGGTTGCAGTGAGCTATGATCACACCGCGCCCCCGTCTGGGCTATGGAGTCAGACCCTGTCTCAAAAAAGCAAAGCAAAGAAAAAAAAACTTTGCAAAGACTCCATAGTCAACCTAATCTGGGGCAGCTCTTTACACAAATGGCTTGTGTAAAAGCAAACTTAAAAATAAATGTTTTCATAATCAGAAGACTATCCTGGATATTTATTACTAATGTTTGCTTTAAATTGTTTGATATCTTCATATGCTCAAACAGAAAGAGAGAGGCAGAGAGAGAACAAAGAAAGAAAAAAGACGGCGGGGCGGGGGAGCGGTGGGTGGGAAGCACATTTTCCATGTCTCCAGGAAAGAACACTTACCACTGAGCACTTCATGCTGGAGTACTACTAGAGGACCACAAATTTAAAGAATCAAATGGGGTTTCTCAACCTGGGATTACAGATGTGAGCCACCGTGCCCGACAAAAAAAAAAAAAAAAAAAAAAAAAAAAGGAATCAAATAGACGGGTCACCTCACTTGATGACACACAGAGACCATTGAGGCGACTTAATGCTAAACCCTGAGCCAACACTGCTGTTGAAGAACTAAGAAAGCCCAGACAGGCTGCATTTCAGTCCCTGTAGAAACGTCTAGGATATGTCAGGAACAGCAAATAGTGGCACCAAGATAAAATATGACAGGAGTGACTCCCAGCTTCAGCAGGCACCATTCGAACTGAGTCCAACACTCTATCCTCACACAGAGCAGCTTTGCAGAGGCACACTCCTCTTAGAGCACAACAGGCAAAGTCATAGCTAGCTCTGAGTCATCCAAATGCTTCCAAATGACTAGCCTATGGTTCCTTCACTCAGAAACCAAACCTGACCAGCAGACACTCAGAAAAGTCCAACAAGCCAATTTTCCCAATTATATTTAAGCAAGTCTGTCTGCTCCACGCTTCCTTGTTTTCTCAGCAGAACCTCTCATTCTCTTACTTGCAGAGATAAAGAGAGTAGGCACTCTCCCTTCCCCTAGCTAACCAAACAAAACTAAACTCATATTGGGGTGACTTAGATGTTAATGCCTAATGGGAAAAAAGAAAAGAAAAGAAGAGCATTCGGCCGGGTGTGGTGGCTCACACCTGTAATCCCAGCACTTTCGGAGGCGAAGGCGCACAGATCACAAGGTCAGGAGGTTGACAGCATCCTGGCTAACACGGTGAAACTCCCGTGTCTACTAAAAATACAAAAATTAGCCGGCCGTGGTGGCATGCCTGTAGTCCCAGCTACTCGGGAGGCTGTAGCAGGAGAATCACTTGAACCCAGGAGGCGGATGTTGTAGTGAGCCAAGATCGTGAGACTGCACTCCAGCCTGAGTGACAGAATGAGACTCTGTCTCAAAAACAAACAAACAAACAAAAAGAAAGAAACAACTGCATTAAATCACCAGAGAAGCTAAGTCGGTGTGATTTAGATCGGCACCCCAAAATCAAGGACAAGCAGATTGAATGCACCAACTTATACCTGGTACACTTCTTGAGTGCTAGGGATACAAAACCATAATGGTATGATTCACGGAACCCAAGGATGGCACAGTCCAGGAGCTGTAAGGAAGGGGCCTGAAGGTTTGGGACATTCTGACAAATAGCAAATGTGAAGGAGGGAGTAGGAATGGATTTGCACCCTCAAGGAAAGGTAAGCTGTCCCATGCAGAGTTGGGAGGGCACTCCTGGCAGGGACAAGCACAATGGGAGCAAAGTCCCAAAGGAGGGACTCTACAGGGTAGATTGCACAACAGTGGGAAGGGCAGCTAGTCTGCATGGGTCAATTAGCCAAAGAAGCCTTGAGAGAGAATGCTGATGAAGACAGGTTGAACCAGATTAGAGGAACCTTGGAAGTGAGGCTCAGAATTTATCCTGTTGACCATGAGAGGCTTCCAAGCTGGGAGGTGACATAAATGTAAGCAAGGAGGTGATATAAACAACAGTGAGTTTTAGGAATAAGCAACAGAGATTTCTCTCTTCAGTTAATTTATACTAACTGGGGGTCCTTTTGTCAAACCCAGAGCAACCAGAATCTATGCCTGGGGAAATAAGTGTTCCGCATTATATCTTGGGACAATTTGCCTAACACCTAGGCCCTAGAAATGCAATCCAAATATTTTACCTTCCCCTGACACACACACACTGTATATACACACACATTTCCACATATATGTGTGCGCATAAAATATATATGTATATACATTTTATATACATAGATAATATATATTATATATGGTGGTACACGTATATAATTATGTATGTATGTATATTATATATTATGTAATTATATATGTATATTATATATTATGTAATTATATATGTATATTATATATTATGTAATTATATATATATAAAATTATATATTTTTGTGATAGGGTCTCATAATATCACCCAGGCTGGAGTGCAGTGTAGCGATGGTGGCTCACTTCGCCCTCAACCTCCCCGGCTCAAGCGATCCTCCCACTTCAGCTTCCTCAGTAGCTAGAACCGCAGGCACAGGTAACCACGCCCAGCTACATTTTTTTCATATTTATTGTAAAGATGGCAGTTTTGCTAAGTTGCCATGCTGGTCTCGAACTCTTGGGCTCAAGGAATCCCCCTGCCTCTCCCACTCAAATTGTTGGGATTACAGACGTGAGTCACTGCACCTGGTGCAAATATTTTTCTTGACTGATAAGTGACACAGTAAACTGACTCCAGAACATAAAAACAAAAACTTAAAAACATATTATACTTGTTCCTAGGTCTATGGCAAGAAAAACCACATTTTTGAAACATGTTTGCATTAATTACGCTCAACTCAATAGTTCTGCAGAGAACTTTTAATCCTGTTAAAGTAAGAGTTGGTAACATTTCTGTAGTTACTAGGCACTGTTAAATATGCTTTCACCTAGGGGTCAGGTGAGTTGGCTCACACCTGTAGTTTCAACACTTTGGGAGGCCAAGGCAGGCAGATCATCTGAGGTCAGGAGTTTTGAGACCAGCCTGATTAACATGGCAAAACCTGTTTCTACTAAAAATACAAAAATTACCCAGATGTGGTGATGCATGCCTGTAATCCCAGCTACTTGGGAGGCTGAGACAGGAGAATCGCTAGAACGCAGACCCTGAGGCTGAAGCAACATCTCTACCCATTTCTGAGGTGCAACTAAGGGAGAGACTAAGAATCTAAAAGTAACCTGAGAGCAAAAAAGAAAACGTTTTTTGAATTCAGGGAAAACAAAGAATAATCATAAATATATAACGGATCACAACCTTAAAAAAAAAAAAAAACAGCAAATATGATACTGTTAAGAAACAAAACAAAGCAAAACGAAAAAATCCTGACTCCTGGCTACAGAGTTGAAAAGCCCCTAGACACGTTAAGTATCTCTTAATTGAGACTCCACTTCATTAACCAGTGAGGTGAGGAAAAATAGGACCTCGGTACGGGAGTAAAGTCAAAGATTAAATTACAAACAGGCCAGATGAATGGACCTGAGAGGAAGTGATAAAATTCTCAACACACTCAGCCGTGTTTATGGTAGCGAATCACCGCAGGCTAACTGCCATTGTAATCACCCCACTCAGGGCAGAAATCTTCCCACCGGACCTTAACAACCTCGCTCCTTGATAAAATGCTAAAAGGAGCCTGACTTTCCACCTGGGTCAAAGCCCCCGCACATCCATTGTCAGGGAGCCAAAGCACCACCAGCAGCAACCCCTGCGCACAAGCCCGGGGCTCTCCAGCACCGCTGTTCTGAATGCCAAGTGCCCAGCACAGGGCCTGGCACCGTTTCCTTAATAAAATGTCCTTTTCTCGTCTCCAGGATGAAACTCAGGATCCGGAAGGCAGCCTTACACCCTCTCCAGACAGGCTCCGTTAAGGGATGAGTGCGCACAAACAGCCCCAGGGGCCAGCCACCCCCTTCCCGTGCCACAACTTCCTGTCCCTTCCATCACCTCCACACCGCGACTCTAGTTTCCATCCAATTCACAACTGTCATCAAGATCCCAGTCCCTGGAGGAAAGAGGGGAGGGCGGCTTTCCACCCCCAACTCCTCACTTAGGGGCGTCTGAGTTGAACCTACGAAAAGGGAGGCCAGAAAGCACTGGGACCCTGAGCGCCGGTCCCTGTGCCGACCCGGACTGGCCACCTACTCCAGGGTGAAACTCGCGCTAGGCGAACAGGGGCAAGCCACAGGGCTGCGGCCCCAAATGAGCAGCAGGCGCGCCCCCCTCGCGTTGACGTTTCTCGGGTGTGAAGTGCCGGAGCTTGGGATGCAGGCGCGGGATTACGGTCCCGAAGCTCAGCGGCACTTGGAACCACTCGGAGTCCCCACATCCTGGGCGACTTCCCCAGCAGCGCTCCCGGGAGAGGGCTCCGACCGCCCCTGACTCCCAGAGCTGCGCAGCCGGGAGGGCGGCTGGGTCGAGTCCGGGCCGGGGTCCTCCGCGGGGCTCCCCGCAAGCCTGGCAGGGCCGCTGCCCGCGAACTTGGCCGGGTGGGCCGGGCCTGGACGAGGTGGGGCGCGCACTCACCAACCCCGTACTTCTGCCTCTTGGTCGGGATCCAGCGGGCCATGGCGGCGACCTCGTCCCGCGGCGGTGGAGCGGCGACTGCGGCGGCAGCAGCGGCGACGGAGGCGGCTACAGCTCCTCGGGCTCCGGCCGCCGCGGCGCCGCGCCCCTGCGTGCCCCGGGCACTTCCGCCATGTTCCGCTAAACTTCGCTGGACTCCGCGGGCCGCCTCCCCGCCGCGTCGCCCGCGCCCGTGCCCGCGCCGCCCGCGGTCACCTGCTGGGCCGTGCGCGCCCCTCCCGGCGCCGCCCCGGCCCCTCCCGCCGGCCGCGCCCTCCGTCCGCCGGGGCCGCCTCCGAGCCGCGGGCGCCCGGCCTCTCCCGCCTGCGCCGCTCTCCGCGCTCTGCCGGGCGGGGGCCGACTGCGGCTCCGCCTCGCGCGCTTCCCAGGAGCGGCTTCCCGGGCCGGCGGGGCTCTGGCGCTGGCGGTGCCTTGCCTTTCCCCCGCCCTCCCCACGCGGCGGATACCCGGAGACTGGGTCCCGGGGGTCCGGCTCCCGGCAGAGGGCTGCTCCGGAGGCGCGAGGCGCACCCAGGCGGGCCGGGCGGCCAGGAGTGCGGGCTGCGCTCCCACGGCGCGCGCCGGGCCCTTGGGGAGCGGAAAGGATCCGCGAGAGCCGTTTCTTGCCCCGGGGCACCGCCGGTGCCTGGCACTCAGCAGGCGCGCAATAAATATGTGTTGAATGAATGAGCGGTTGACCGCTGCCTTCACCCCCTGGAGCTCGAACCCGCTCCGCGAGCTCCGGAAGCCAGACTCGGAGCGGACGGATCTCCCGGGACCACCATTTAGCCTGGAAAGCAGAACGTTTGTCCGCGGGAGAACGAGTGCGAGGGAGGCGTTCTCCTCAGAAGGATGGGACCGTTTCCTAGGGGAGCCCCTGCAGGGAAGTTGCTCGGAAAGCCCTAATTTGGAAGTCCTGTATCAACAAACTCCGGGGACCACCCCCTCAACCCCAAGCTGAAGAAATGTAGACCCGCATGCCCAGGGGGAAAGTCCACCCCGACGCCTCCCTCTCCCAACCAGCCGGCAGCCCGGAGAGCCTCCCCGCGGAGAAGGAGACGGGGCGCAGCGCCGGCTGTTTTCCTGACGAAGATCCCAAGGCCGGGGCTGCGGATCTGAACTGCCGTGGGCTCCAGGTGGCGCCCTCCCTGCAGCGCCCCTCTAGGAATTCACTCTCCTGGAGAATGAAAATCCAGGGTTTTTTCCCCTACCTTGTTTAGAAGTAACATGGCAACCGGAGTCAGTGACCAGCTTAATTACGTTCGTCGTCGAAGAAGATGCCTCTGGAGAGAAATTGTATCCTCCCTGCGGTCTGTGAAAGTTCTCATGCGTTTTTGGAACATGCAAGAAAGGAAAACAAACGTAATAAAGACAGGTAGTAACAATAGACAAAATAGTAAAGTTTCACTGCACAATTGGTGCATTTTAACTTTGGTGGATTTTTGCCAAACCAGATCTGAATTTTTTTTTTTTTAAGCCCTATTCACTCTGGTTAACTGCTAGAGCTGGCTTTTCTTCTTCATTAACCAATAGGTATTTATTCACAATGGTTAACGATAATTTAAGAAATTCCTGTGACACTCGGAAACAATTCTACCATCTTCCTCAAAATAATTTCTCTTCCTCCATCAGTATATCATGATTCTGATTTCCCAGGTTAGGTCATTTCATTGTCCTTCCCGCAAATATTAGGTGCCTGTGCATTAAGTGCGAGACATTGCTCTAAGAACGGAGGTGCAGCGGTGAGTACAGTAAAATACCTCCCTTCACAGAGCTTCCAGTCTAGACGGGGAGAGTAGGCCAATAAAGAAAGGTACAGCAAGCGAGGGTAAGCCTCAGAGGAAAATCGGAAGCAGGGAGGATAGGACGCTCAGGGTGCTGCTGTTTAGATGCAGTGGTCTGGGAATGCAGCTCTGCTAAGCTGAGGTTGACGTGTAGACCTGAAGGAAGTAAAGATTCCAGGGAAAAGGATTCTGGAGAAAAGGAACAGCAAATGCAAAGGACACCAGGCGGGTTTGGCAGATTCCCAAGTCAGCAAGGAATTCTGGGTGGTGATAGCTGAGTAACAGGTGAGAGGAAACTTGGTGTAAGAGGCAGGGGGGTGCCAGACAGAACAGAACCCTGGCAGGCATATGGACTTTGTATATCACCGCTGCAAGAGAGGTTCGGAGGGCTTGGAACCCAGCTGGGACGTGTTGAACTTGCCTGCTGTAGTATGATTCCATTGTAAAGGGGCAAGGGAAGTCTCCATGGATGGAGGTGGGTAGCTGTTTCAGTCATTCAGCCAAGACATGAAGGTAGTTGGGTCCAGGAGGATAGGGGTGGAGGGGAAAAAGAAGTTGGGTTCTTGACGCAAGTGAAACTAGAACCTGGCCAGCTGTGGTGGCTCACACCTGGAATCCCACCATTTGGGGGAGGCTGAGGTGGGAGGATCGCTTAAGGTCAGGAGTTCAAAATCAGCCTGGGCAACATAGTGAGACCCTCCTCTACTATATATATATATGTCGGGCATGGTGGCTGTGCCTGTGGTCCTATCTGCTCAGGAGACTGAGGTGGGAGAATTGCTTGAGCCCAGGAGGTCGAAGCTAGCAGTGAGCTATGACTGCATCACTGCACGAAAAAGAACCAACAGAAGGGCCACGTGAGCAGCAGAGGGATTTACCGCTGTGAGACGTCTAAGGCTTTCAGTGTGCTTCAGTCTTTTTTTGTGGAAAGTTTTCCCCCAGAAAGAGATATACTTGCATTTTTTAAAGAGCCCTACCCCTATTGTACACACTTCAGGCCCCACACGCCCTGGTTTTTGCCCCTGAATGCCAGATACAACCTGGGTCAAGAATGACTCTTAAGCCAGCTAGGTGGCAGGTGCCTGTCATCCCAGCTGCTCGGGAGGCTGAGGCAAAAGGGCTTCTTGAGCCCAGGAGTTCCAGGCTGCAGTGAGCTATGCCGATCAGGTGTGTGCACTAATTTTGACTTCAATATGGTGACATCCTGGGAGCAGGTGACCACCAGGTTGCCTAAGGAGGGGTGGACAGATCCAGGTCAAAATTGGAGTGGGTCAATTATTTGGAAAGCCCTAATTTAGAAGTCCTATATCCTGAAACTCCAGTTATCCTCCTTAGCTGAAGAAATTTAGGCCTACCCATCCAGGGGAAATGTCTACCCCAAAACCTCCTTATTTCAACTGGCCGGCAGCCCAGAGAGCATCCCTGTGTAGAAAGGGACCGGATCCATCTTGTCTTTTCTTTCCTTCTTTCTATTTTTTCCTTTGACATGGAGTCTTGCTCTGTTGCTCAGGCTGTAGTAAAATGGTGCAATCTTGGCTCGCTGCAACCTCCACCTCCCAGGTTCAAGTGATTCTCCTGCCTCAGCCTCCTGAGTAGCTGGGAGTGCAGTCACACACCACCACGCCCGGCTAACTTTTGTAATTTTAGTAAAGACAGAGTTTCATTATGTTGGCCAGGCTGGCCTGGAACTCCTGACCTTGTGATCCACCCACCTAGGCCTCCCAAAGTGCTGGGATTACAGGCAAGAGCCATGCACCCAGCCATCCTTGTCTTTTTCTCTGTCCCCTACTATGTTTTCTTGACAAACATCCCGCAGCCAAGACTTCACATTTCAACCACCTTGGGCTCCAGGTGGCACCCCTCTTGAGCTCCCCTTCTGATCAATTATGGGATGGCACCTGTGAATTGCCACTATATTTCAGCTTGGACAACATAGCAAGACCCTGCCTCCAAAACAAAAAAAATTCCTTAAAAACAAAAAGAATGATGCTAAGGTTTGGGGCTTGGACAGCTAGTGAGTGGAGTTGCCATTGTCTTGGTCACCATTGATATCTGCCTTGTCTTTACCCTTTCCTGTCCCAGTGGCTCTGGATCGAAGTTTTCCTTTCAATATTTCTTTAGAACCCACTTCTTCACGCCTTCCTCAGCAACTTCTCCATGTGACCCCTTAAGAGATAAAGCACTCTGCAGTGGATTATATGACCTGCCTGTTGTGGATTCGGAGCTTCTCAAAGGTACATGGGTTCTCTGTGCTCAGGGAAAGTGAATGACCTCTGTTCTCTGACCGCAGGTATATTTCAAATTTAATATAGATCAGAACGTTCATACTCTTATCCAGTGAAACTGGGTTTCTGCCAAAGCGATTTCAACTGCCTCATCCCACGCTTGCACTAAAGTCTTCTTTTTCCAAAACTTGAGGTTGGATTTGGGGTACTGGAGATTTCGAATTTGCCAACGATTGCTTCAAGACAGTTGGAGGAAAATGGAAAATTTTAATTACAGCTTTCAGTATTTTTGGTTTATCCTTTCCTTCTGAAAACTGAAATCCACTCACTTTGCTGTATCAGATGGCTAAATGCCAGTTTGAATGTCCTTTCAAATCATAAAAGCAGAGGTATTCAAAGTCTTTTATTAGAATGAGGCTTAAAATTAGAGAGTCAACCAGGCAGGTAGTTGGAATCACAGCAAGATGCCCAGGAATACCCTTTTCTTTTCCCTCTGATATCTTTTCAGAAGAAACGTTAAGCATATTCCACAACCAGAGATCTTCAGACTCCAAAACCCCCACAAATACAAACACACTTATGCACATGGACACTTGCAGGCTCTGCTTGAAGGAGCCATGGAGAAAGAAATGAGGATAAGTGACTTTGAGGGTTAGTTTGACATGAGTATTGTGACTATCCCTTACAATGCCTTAGAGACAAGATGTGAAGAGAACTGGCAAAGGCCTCACCTGCCCTGTTGATTACCAAGTCTATTTTGGCAAATCAGCCTGATCTGATGGCTTCTCTGTGAGATGCTGTGAATTCTTTTAAAGTATTTCTCCCTCTCTTTCTCTCTCTCTCTCTCTCTCTCTCTCTCTCTCTCTCAAAATAGAGGAAGATCATTCTTCGATCCTATATGGGTGGGTGGCTACTGGAAGTACCAAAAAAATGATAATAATAAAAATAGTGTGATGGTCTAAGCAGTGTTTTGCAAGCTTCCAAGGATGGTTCTAAGTAAGTCAGGAGTAAGTGATACATTGTAATTTAGGGACCCATGAGCTTAGCAGGACAAAGGAAATAATCAATCACTCTAGTTGTAGAAGTAGCTTCTCATAGGCCCCAGGGATTTCAGCATCATTATTCAACTCTCCACTCTGCAGTGACTTAGGTGGTGAGTATCTCT